GTAAAATGTAAAGATGGTACAAGGCTGCATATGCAATAAATCACCAGATAAGTAACAATGTGTTCTGTGGTATGTTGAATGTCAGGACTAATTTTATCACTAATGAAGTTCCCTGAAGGAAAGTAATGATGATAACTGCTTGCAGCAGACTCTGTCACGAGTTAAGAAACTTTATTTGGAATAGATTTATTCCTAGTTGGGCTCAGGAAAGCAGCTCTTTCTCACATTTCAAGAATCTGGTGTGAACCAAGAAAGTTATTTATTTTAGCAAGATCCTACTGTCCTGGCTGGGTACCTAAGTGTGATACTATTCCACTCTGCTCAAGCCACTGAAAAACTGTCATTACAAAGTGGAGGTTGTCCCATTCCTCATTACTTTTGTTGTGTCTTTGTTTTAAGGCCAAGATGATGGTGTTATAGGAAAAAAAAAGGGGTGGGGGGGAGGATGCATTATTTCACAGATTTCATAGACATTAGGGCTGGAAGGGACCTTGGAAGATCATCGAGTCCAGCCCCCCGCCCAAAGGGCAGGAAGTCAGCTGGGGTCATTGGATCCCAGCAAGATAAGCATCCAATTTTCTCTTGAAGGTGTTCAATGTAGGTGCTTGAGCCACCTCCAGTGGCAGGCTACTCCAGATCTTGGGGGCTCGGACAGTAAAGAAATTATCCCTTATATCCAGCCTGAAATGGAATTGCAGTAGTTTATAACCATTCGATCTCATCATCCCTTGGGGTGCTCTGGTGAATAATCGTTCCCCCAGATCCTGGTAAACACCCCTGATAAACTTATAGGTGGCCATCAGATCATCTGATGTTCAGAATGCCTAACAGGGAGGAATGGGATCACATGTAGGCACCTAACAGCTGGAGTAGGATCTGGCACTATGTGAACAACTGAAGGGCTCTCCCAGAGGCATGCAAAATATGACCTATGGGTTAGATCTGACCAGCCAGGTAATTCTATCTGGTCCGCGGGGCCCCTCCATAAGCCCCGGCCTGCCCTTCTGCAAGCAGGTGCCTCCATGCAGGAGGTGTGGCTCTGGTTGCCAAGCAACAATCCCCACCCCCAGCCTGGCCTGACCCGCCCCAGCCCCGAGCCAGGGGGTGCTGGCAACAAGAAGGCTCTGCTGGGCAGAGGCTTTTGCCTGGCTGCCCCATGGGTGTTCCCAGCCTCCCTGCCTGCAGGACTGGAAATATAGGTAAGGGCCCCACTGGGCCAAAGCCAGGGCCTCCTGCTGGGGGAAAGGGGGCTGGGAGCACAGGAACCACATGCTATGGGGCTAGGTTGGGCTGCCCCACGTGCTGCCACATGTGGCTGGGGTTTGTGGTGGGAGCGCAGGAGCTGCACGCTATGGGGCCAGGTGGGACTGGCCCTGCACACTGCCACCATGTTTGGCCAGGGAGCTGGGAGCTGCAGCTATGGGCATGGGTCAGGCTGGTCCTGCTGTTTTCCCCCATATGCAGCCTGGGACTTGGGTGGGAGCACAGGGCTGGGTGCAGCTGGCCCCGCAACCTGCTGCCGGGTGTGGCCAGGGACTGGAGTGGGAGCACTATTGAGCAGGGTGGGACTGGCCCCGCACGCTGCTCCCACCTTCAGCTGGGGACTAGGGTGGGAGTGCAAGAAGCTGCATGCTGTGGGGCCACTGCCACTGCATGTGGCTCCAGGGACTCTCACGCTCCAGGGACTCCAAGGGCTTCCCCCCACCCCTCCCCCCCCATACACACCCACATCTTCCCACTCCCCCACCATACCCCCAAACACACCCACACCCTCCCACAGCCCCCTCATGCACTCCCACACCCCCCATAACCCCACCCCAACCACATACCACGCACACCCCTGCACCTTTCCTCCCCCACACCCCTGGTCACACCTGGCACCCCTGGTGCCCCAGGTCACCATTTTGCGACCTGAAGTCCCGTCCCCTAACCCTTGACCTTTGCCATCAGAAGTCCCTTCCCTTGGCTCCAGAAGTACTCCTTTCAGCTAGGGGTTTTGCCATCTCAGAACCAGAAAAATACCAAATTATATTCTAAAAAGCGATCATCTACAACATTCATTAATTTGATTTCAAAAAATACTTTTGTCCCGATTTACATGTATTTGTAGAGTGTACGCAGAAGTGACTGCACAATAGCTTAAAATGAAGTCTTACTCTTGTATATTGGGGGGGTGGGTATAGGTTTATGGGGGCTGTGTGGGGGGAGGGTGGCTGGGTCTGCGTGTATGGCAGTGCAAGGGGGTGTGTGGGTGTATGTGCATGGTAGGGTGTGCATGTGGAAGTCCCCGCGCACACCCTGCCCCTGCCTGCACACACGCGCGCGTGCGCGCACACACACACACACACGCGCGCGCGCGCACACACACACACACAGTCCCTTCCTCCACACACACACCCCCCCCTGTACTGGTGGGGCCCCATGCTCCCTGGTCCAGCTATACAGCTAGGCACCACATGGTGCTGGAACAGGGCGGGGGCAGGAAGCAGGGAAATGGCTAGGGGTGGGGGGGGGCTGGGCTTCTGCTTCTGGATGCTGGCTCCCCCTGGCTCCTGTTGTCTTTGACAGGCAGCCTGGAGCAGATAAATACTTTCTAAAATTTTTAGGGGTCCAGTGGGCCAGACAGAATGGCCTGGCGGGCCAAATCCAGCCTGCAGGCTGTATTTTGCCTGCCCCTGTTGTAAAGCAATAATGAGCAGGGCCAATCAAAGGTCCTCAGGGCTCTGTGCAAACACACACAGGGTGCCTGTGCATGTGAAGGATGCCTGCTCTGTCGTGGTCCAAGTAGAACATGTCAGAGCAGACTTAAATCGAGTCTGCTGGAGCATTCCAATTAGAAAGCCCCAGCAGCTTCACTGCCATGTGTACCCCCATGTTTCAAAATGACAGCAGGGGTGCTTTAACTAAAGCTCCTTAAAACCACCTTGGAGCACATGTATAGATGCCCACAGACACAAAGCCTCAGGCAGACTTTGGTTCCTATTGCAGCACATAGACAGAGGGAGGGGTTACCACCTGTGTGGGTCATGTAGATATTCTTAAAAGGAAAGGTAGCCAACATAGTGACTCAGTTTGCAAAAAACAGGAAAGAAAGTGAATCCATGAGATGCGTTATGTAATGATCTACACTGTGAGCAGTAGTTCACGAGCCACTGCTGTAAGTACAGAATAAATCAAACCCACCTTTTTGCTCTAGCTTCATAGTATATCTCCAGGGAAATTTGTAAGATCAACCCTAGATGTTATTTTTGATGGGGGGAGCCCTACTTCATCATACAGGATGTGCCACATTCCATTTCCTGCTCCTTTGCCACCTACTTATTTGTTATCACAGTTGCACTGGAAGCTTTGCACTCACTGTTTCCATTGTTTCCTGAGGTTGCTTTCGACTTTGGCACCTATACAATCCCAAAGACTGTATGGATTCCAAATTATAGTTTTTGCAGTATTCAGCATGCCTTTGGGTTAGGTGAGGAAAGGATGATAAGCAAAGGCAGGAACATTTGATAAAAAAATGCTGCAGAATTTTCTTTGACAGTGTTTTTAAACAGAGCTTCAGCAGGGACCAGTTTACGTGCAAAATTGCCCTAATGGGATTCGCTCTCAGTCTGGGGGATGTGTGGTTGAGTCCATTCATCCCCATGTATAGATTAGTTACTGCGTGTACCTCTGTAGTCAACTTGTACATACTACCTTGAATACAATGTGTACCTATATCAAACATGTATTAAAAAGTATTGAGAATTTTACAAATTTGGCTCTGGATTTGTATTTAAGTTTTAACTGAGATTTCAGGGCTGCCTGTTGGTGTCTGACAAATCTGAAAGAAATGCATTCATCACAACCCTAATTGGACTCTATGCATACTTTTCTTCTTTTATGTTGACATAAAACTTCAATTACAGTAAGATTTTAAAACTGTTCAAGAGAACATCTCGACTCCCTGTGAGCAAAGCTCATTTTATGGATAGATCTACATATTTTATAAGCTTCTTTTTATCAACAGACTGGTAAACTGGATATTCTTGACAGGGTAATATCGAGTGATAATTCAGCTAGTGAGTTCACTTTGTTCAGTATCTGCATGATTCACTGCACAGTTGATTGCCAGTCATTTAGGCTGACTTCATAAATGAAATTTATTTTTGCTGATGCACATTAACATACAAATCCCCCAGACCCTCTCTCTCCCACTAGTTCTCAGAACTTCAGGCATCATATGAACAAAAGTTTTTTGCAGGCTGAAGCATATATTTTGCTTCCTATATAAGAAAATACAAAATTGATACCATTTAAAACAATATCTACAATATCATGATAGGCTGGTTGCAAGACAGTTGGCTTGATGTGCTAAGACTCTCCATCTTACATTGAATTAATTTACAGATGTGCACACTCATCATTTCTGGAAGCAGGCCCAGGGGTACTAACTATTTGGAGCAGGGAGCAATGATGTAAGAGCTGGTGTTAATAAGGCCCCTGACAAATGTTACATCTACCCTGCAATTAAATGGTTAATTACACCATAAATTTAGACATGCTACATATGCAAAGTAATTATCACACAATAAAAATGGCCATAAAAATGGTCAATCACAAAGATGTCTGAAAAATGTAGAACATTTGTGCAGCTGGTTTCTGCCCAGGTCTCCAACATCCCTGGGTAGACTACTGCTCCGCCACCTCTGGGCACTCTCCGACTCATGCTGAACTCTGCTACTTCAGGGTGTCTCAGCAGGACATGCCATGACTCACGGCCCCTCCTCCCTTTCCTCAACCAGCTTTCAAAGCTGCTTCTTTAAGTGGCTGTTAGCACCTCTTCCTGTGAGAAGCAAAGTGTAAACAGCCTCTCAACATGGCATGCTGTACTCGTATACAATAGGAACCTGTGGGGGCAGCAGTTCCAAGAATGTCACGGATGGAGGATCCAGTTCACAAATGTCCCTGGACAGAAGTATCCAGGTCCAAGTAGAACCTTCACCTTTTAGAGATTGCATTGCTGTCAAAAAGCCACCAGGGGTGGGGGAGTACTCAGACCATCATGCTTTCCAGGGGTCAATGCCTGGAGTTTTCCCCGGGATACTCCTAGAGCAGGGTTGCTCAACTTCTGGCCCTTGGGTCAAATGCAGCCCATGGAGCCATGGCACCTGGCCTGTGGGGCTCCTCACTGGGCAGGAAATTTGGCAGCGGGGGATCTGTGGCCATTAATATGTCCATCATTCCTCTCCATGGGGCCAGGCTGGGGCTGGATCACACCACCTTCCCCTGCAGGGCCAAGCCACGTGCCTTTCCCCCCATCCAAAAGACCAGATTGGGGCTGAGCCATGCCCCTTCCCCTCAGCCAAGCTACACCCCTTTCCCTTCCGACACAGGTCTGGGTTCAATTAACACTGACAGCAGGACAATTCACCTCAAATCTAGTCACAAGGTGTAGAACAATATAAAAGTACGGATGGTCCCTATACCTTCTTAGTTCTCCTCTGATAGGCAAAGGCGATGTCCTGCCTCTGTTCATTGCTGCGGTTTGTCAGAATGTTGACGATGGTGACCTCATCCACACCTATTAAGGCATAAGCAAGAGGTTATGGAAAATTCCCCCTCATGTTGGTCTCCATTATTAACACAGCTTAACACACTTGAAATGTAGCATAGCAACATCCATAGTAAGGATCATCAGTAACACCAGCACACCACACCCTCAGAATAAGTGTAGCCAATTGCAGCCCACATTTTCAAAGAGATGGCTAATGAAGGTGTGCATACTTGTATGACAAATGGACTGCAAATGATGTGCTACTTTTATCTTCTATTTTTTGACTGAATACAAGTCACACAGTATCCTACTAGGATATTCAAGAATATGTTGCCTGTAGAACAAACGTGAACTGGAATGCATTACAGTCCACTTGTGAAATTTTGACAGTGTGATTTAAATTAGGCTTCTTGTTAAATCAGTTGTTTTTCCAGATCACTCTGGGCACTTAACTGTACTCCAAACAGAACAATGAGTACAAAGGCCACTATGTTCCCTTTTTTCAGCAGCCCACAGGCAAAAGGGTCTTGTATCTTTGATATTTACTGAGGGAATCATATTAATCATACTGCCTTCCAGAAATCATCAATAGGATAGGGGGTATGAGGTTTTCTAGGTTGCCTAGGGGATTTAGATGCTTGATTCTCCAGTTTTGTTTAATAGTTACACTACATAAGAGTCAAATATTCAGTAGCATCTTAAATGAAAGTTTCTAGATCCATGCATGTAAAATACAATTACACCCTGAGTGCAAAGAGATCATTTGCATTTATTGTTGTTGACAGTCACATTATCCAGCCTCCTAACAGAAACTATTCCAAGCCCCTAAATTCCAGGTAGCTGACACTTACTGCTCTGCTATAGGACCTGTCATGTGAGAGTACAGACCAACCTTCCCAAAGGCATTCCCACCCTTCTGTCTTGCAAATGGACTCTTCTATAAGACAAATCCAAAGCCCAATCAAGTCAGCTGCCACAGTTCTCATCGGATTAGGTATCAGGCCCATAACCCTTTCCCTAGCCAACTGTAAAAGCTGAAATCTCTGTTGATCACGGTCTATGAAATACTTCTACATTGCTAATCAATGAGATTATAAACAACTGATCATCACATATCCAAATACAATAATTAGGTTGTGCATTCACGATCAAACTTACAGAATTCATAATCCAAACACTAAGGGCTAACATTAACTAATTTTTAACACCCTGTTAGAACAAAGAGATGGCTTGCACTGTGACCTAACCTATAGTTGGATAAAAGAAAAAAAACATTTAAAAACATACCTCTAGTCGTCAGGAATAATCAGAAACCACAATAAAACCACATTCTTGTTAATAATGAAGTGCCAGAAACACAGCTGATATTTTGACAGTTTCTTTGCCTCTGTTTTCTTGAACAGGGACCGGGACATCCCACCTACCAGAGGTAGGGACAATCTTGGGGATAGCTCTGTCAGGACTTCAGTCAGTGCAGATGTAGTTAGGGACCTTCTGGAAGGGCTAGGCATTTTTAAATCTGCAGGTCCAGATGCCCTCCACCCAAGGGTGTTGAGGGAGCTGGCAGGGGTCATCGCAGAGCCCTTGGCCCGGCTGTATGAGCATTCGTGGTCATCTGGCCAGGTGCCGGGGGATTGGAAACTGGCTAATGTGGTCCCAATTTTCAAGAAAGGGAGGAAGGAGGACTCAAGTAACTATAGGCCCGTAAGCCTCACCTTGGTGCTCAGGAAGATCTTGGAGAGGATCATCAAGGAGCACGTCTGTGGGGGGGGCCTGCAGGGGAGATCATGCTCAGGGGCAACCATCATGGGTTCATCAAAGGCAGGTCTTGCCTGAACAACCTGATTGCCTTTTATGATCAAGGAACTAAATCCTTGGATGATCGTGTCGCTGTGGACATAGTCTTTCTAGACTTTAAGAAGGCCTTTGACACTGTCTCTCACCCCATCCTCATCAATAAATTAAGTCACTGCGGCATTGATGCCTATGCAGCTGGATGGGTAAAAAATTGGCTGATGGGGCGCACCCAGAGAGTAGTGGTGGACGGGTTGTACTCAACTTGGCAAGATGTGAGCAGTGGGGTACCCCAGGGCTTGGTCCTCGGGCCCACACTGTTTAACATCTTCATCAGTGACTTGGACGAGCGGGTGGAAAGCACGCTGTCCAAGTTTGCTGATGACACTAAGATGTGGGGTGGACACACTTGAAGGGAGAGAGAGGCTGCAACTAGATTTAGACAGACCTCAAAAGTGGGCAGATGAGAACAGGATGTGGTTCAACGTAGACAAATGCAGGGTGCTGCACCTTGGGAGAAGGAATCCACAGCATACATACAGGCTG